TCCAATGTATATAGTATTCAAGATGGTTGCGCCTGATCCGTGAATCCAAAATGGCCTCAACCTCGTACTCCTCATCGCCGGAGACGACAAGCGGAGGAGGTCGTTTTGAGGCTCGACCGGGGATCGTATCTGGATGCGCACGCTCAAGTAAGTTTACATGAAAGACAGGATGTAGCTTGGTCGTTGGTGGTAAATCGAGACGGAAGGATCGAGTGCCGATTTTTTCGAGAATACGGTAAGGGCCCATGCGCTTATGGTCGAGCTTCTTGCATGGTCTGTTCGTTTGGAGGTTCCGGGCGTCTAGCCATACAAGATCTCCTACTTGCAGATTGGGTTGTGGTTGGGCCTTGGTGTCGAAGTTCCTGGCATGCTGTTCAATGGCGGTGTGGATATTGAGTTGCATCTCCGCATAGAGGTTCTTTAGGGCCTGGACGCGTTCCTGGGCTGGGACATTGTCCTTCGAGACTCTTGGGATGGTGATGGTAAATTTCGGATGGTAGCCGAGGTTGGCAAAGAATGGTGTTGTTTTTGTTGTTGAGTGTGTTGCGTTGTTGTATGCAAATTCTGCTATCGGTAGAAGGGTGCTCCAGTCCGTTTGCTGATAGTCGATATACCCTCGTAGGTACTGTTCCAGTATTGAATTTACTCTCTCGGTCTGTCCATCGGTGCGTTGGTGGTAGGCGGTAGAAAGCTTCTGATTGATCCCCAGAGACTTGAACATGGTGGAAACGAAGGCTGAAGTGAAGGTGGCGCCTCTGTCAGAAACAATGTCATCCGGGAGACCGTGGGCTGAAAATACGCGTTCTAGGAACAAACAGACCGTATCCTGTGCATTGATGTTGTCGTAGGTGGGGACAAAGTGTGCCATCTTGGTGAATCGGTCCACAAAAACACAGATTGCCGTATAGCCGTTTGAGGGGGGGAGTTGGGTGATGAAATCCATCGATACTGAGGTCCAGGGGCGATCGGGTACAGGCAGGGGTTGTAAAAGTCCATAAGGCTTGTGAGTGGATGACTTTGTCCGTTGGCAGGTGTCACAACCGTTGATGTAATCCTTGATGTAACGCCACATGGAAGGCCAGTAAAAGGTTCGACTGACAAGGTCTGAGGTCTTGGTAATTCCAAAATGACCGGCGGTTGGGGCGTCGTGACATTCTTGAAGGATTTGTTTCTTGAGTTCGGGATCGTCGGGGACGCAGACAAGGCCATCCCGCAGGAGTAGCCCATCTTGAATTGAGTACTGGGCATTGTCCGAGTTCGACTTTGCGGTCTTGGCGAGTATTGGACCAAAGTATAGATCATCGGGGATTAGTGTCTTGATTTTTTCCTGGATCGCTGGCGTCTCTGGTTGCAGTGACCGGGCCTGGATGGTGTTCAGAATCTGGATCGGCGGTAGGAGGGTCATCTCGGTCTTGCCGTGCTGGGCCGCACCTCCCTCTCCAGGGTTGTCCCGCCGGGACAAAGCATCGGCAGCGGCATTCTGGGAGCCAGGGCGGTAATGGATGGTAAAGTTGTAGTCAGACAAGATTTCAGACCAGCGGACTTGACGGCGGCTCAATTGGCGCGTGGTGGTAAAGTACTCAAGATTTCTGTGGTCGGTGATGACTTCCGTGGTAGCGGGCGAGAATTCCAGGTAGTGTCGCCAATGTTTAAAGGCAGACACAATGGCAAGGAGTTCTTTGTCGTAGATCTGATAGTTGAGTTCAGCAGGCAATAGTTTTCGGGAGTAGTAAGCGATAGGATGTAGGCGTCCATCTTGGTCACGCTGACTGCAGACAGCGCCGAGGGCCTTGTCAGAAGCGTCAGTTTCAATGATGCAGGGGCGATCTGGTTGGAAATGCCGAAGGACGGGGCCAGACATGAAGCGTGACTTGAGCTCCGTGAAAGCGGCTTGTGCGATAGCGGTCCAGACAAAGTTAGTATTTTTCTTGAGTAACGCGGTGAGAGGCGCGGCGATATGGGAGTATTTCCGTACAAAACGACGGTAGAAGTTGGAGAAACCCAGAAAGCACTGGACATCCGAAACGGAAGAGGGAGTGGGCCAATCGCGAATGGCGGCAACCTTGGCGGGGTCCATAGAAATACCGTCAGTTCCGATCACAAAGCCGAGGAATTCGACTTTGTCCTTGTCGAACGAGCATTTCTCGAGTTTTAAGCATAGACCAGCGTCTTGGAGCTTGCTGAGAACTTTGCGGACATGCGCGGTATGTTCCTCAAGGGTGTCGGAGTAGATGAGAATGTCGTCAATGTATAGCACGACAAAGTCATCTAGGTAATCGCGGAGGACGTCGTTGGCGAAAGCTTGGAAAGTTCCGGGAGCGTTCATTAGTCCGAAGGGCATGACTGTATACTCGAAGTGGCCATAGCGGCAGCGGAATGCAGTCTTCCATTCGTCGCCCTCCTTGATGCGGAGAAGATTGTATGGGAGGCCTTTCAGGTCCAAGTTATCATATGGTGTTTGTTACATCTCTGTAGATCTCGACAATATCCATAGCGACTATGGGATGAGAATGTATATATGATACCAAGCATATAAGACAACCATTGTAACATTTTTTGTTCAACTATCCTACTAAACACCAACCTATTCTCCAAACAACAAAGTCTTCTTATTTTTCGCACACCACACTCTTGAATATGTCCATCTACTATTAACCTGTAACCCTCACTGCAAGATTCGCCAGAGTAGTTCTTGTATGTCATCATCTAAAGCACTTGTACTCTCAACTGTATCTTTGGGGCGAAATACAGGGGAGAGATTACATTTTAAAAAAACATGTGCTGTCTATTGCTATTTTATTCTGTGTTCTGTTGCCCACTATGAAGAGATATGTCAGTTATGGAAGTAAACGCTCCGTTCCTTGGGCTTTGGATATTTTTTATATGCCTTTTTATATCCTCTGCACATGAAGGGGCCGCTACCGAAAAAAATATAAAAATATATTTGTATTCTCAACTATGTGCTTGCTATATGATAGATACCATCCTACATGCTGTTGTGTATGCAGTTAAGTATAAGCCTTTTTAAAAAATTGTTATTGTTGGTTAACGTCATGACAATCCAATACATAAATATTATTATGGATCTAACAAAACACTTCCAACAACTGCTTGATGACCATTGGACTTTCCTCAACGCTGGATGGCCAACAATTACACCACGTAATAATCATCGTACTGTAAGCAAGGAAATTGGGTATATGCCAGAAATAAAAGAAACCCTAAATCGACGCCTTGGTCCTATTCCAGTGTACTTCTTTCTTGTTGACATCTGGCCAAAGGTTAAGTATCCTGGTCCATACAAAGAAGTGGAGAAAGGTCTTTTAATGCTCTATCATCTTGTCAAAGGACTGTCTATGGAAGCAATGGAACCACACATGCCAAAAAGTAGTTTTCATGCAATGCACTCTGTGTTTTATAAGAAAGAATATACTTTGCACAACAAGTACATCACCAACTGTATTGCAACAATGTTCTCCACAATTAAAATACGCCTATTGTCTGCAAAGGAAAAGAATCCTCCATTATTTAAGCATGTTACATTGCATCTTGATGGTCATGATACAAGAGCAACATACAAAGGTGAGAGTAGTGCTGATATGTACTCTTACAAGCTGAAAAAGTCTGGATTACGCACACAGGTAGCAATGGATTGTAATGGCATGGCTTTATTTGTCTCCAAATCTGCATCTTGCAAGAACAATGCTGATGGAACAATGCTGCTAACGATGAAGTTGGACAAGAGAGTGCATGAGATGGATTGCATTGCTCTCGATGGAGGGTATCCACAGTTCTTAAGGAGGCTTATAGATGAGTCTGATATTCTTAGAGTCCAAAATTTCGCTCATCCATACCGTAAACAGAAGAACAAGGAACTTACACAGGAAGAAGCGTTATACAATACCACCTTTGGTAGTTTCCGCTCGCAGATGGAATCTCTGTTTGCAGACCTTGGTTCCACATTTGAGAAACACAACAATCGTACTCCTGTGTTGGTGGATAAGAAACAAACATATAATTTGCAGTTGAAGTTATCTTTATTACTCTTAAACATGAAAAAGATGGTTGCTTTGTTGAAGATTTCTGCAGAACCAATTCATACAGCTTGGCTTCGCGAAGGCTTCGAGTATCCGACGACAGAGAACGACGTTGAGCAACCAATGGGATATGTTGATGTTGGAGCGCTAGTGGAGGATGGAAATACAATGGCACAACTCCAGAACAAATTTCTTGGTATTAATCTTCATGGTGATGTTGATGTTAATGTTGATGAGGACACACCAATGGATCAAGCAGTAATAATGCAACCCGGTCTTTCCATTGAGCTTAGAGGTACGAAGCGACAAATGGATGTTAATGGTAATCTGTAGACTTATTGCAGGTTTTTAAAAGAATAGACATACATGGCCTATTTAGTCAGCTTTAAGATACGGTATTAACTGCCAAGACGCTAATATGCACCGGTATCTATTATTAAAAGCCATGGTATTATTGTAGTAGATCGGATGCTATTCTATGCTATTCTACAGCATTCCTTTTTATTTAACTAAGAGGATAAACACATGTACAAACCTACGTCATAAAATAATACTACATTCTTAACCATTTTTAAACCCCGTCTTTAATGCCAAGCAGTCTTAATAAGCAAGATCTACGTCATACGAGGAACACTACATTATTAACCACTTGATGCCTTTTTAAAACTCTTTTGTTACTAAGCGCCAAGCAGTGCTAATAAGCAAGCGCTATTAATGTCCATTGTGGCAGTGTTCCTGAATTAGTATAAATAAAGGAGTCCACTTCCCTCTTGCTTAATCTTTATCTAGTAACCAACCAACAATTATCCATATCTATACAACCATCCATACCTATACAACCATCTTTTATTGCAATTCTTTATATCAGTGTACTAAGCAGCTGCAATCTACCACACATAAACTGAAAACTCATTCACACCCACCATACCACAAGTACAATCCATATTATTCATATCCAAAAACATGAAGTACGTTCAGCTTACAATCGAGCTCATCACCAAGGCCTTTGAGACATTCTCCTCTAAGAAGGGAGTGGAGTTTAACAAGAAGGATGCAAATAAGATCTTTAAGGCGCTTGATGAGGATGAGGAAGTAGAGAGATACTACTTTTGTGGAGAAAAGTGCACCAAGTCCAAGCGCAAATGCATGAAGGAAGTTGATGATGAAGGCATGCATTGTTATGTCCACGATCCTGCGCGCAAGTGTCAAGGCACAACTATTAAGGGTGCTAATTGTGGTAGTGTAGCCAAACTTGGTCAAACATACTGTGGACGTCATCAAGATCAAGATAGAGGTTATATAAAACGTAGTAACAACAACGCACCTGTCGACAAGCGTACTAAGTCTTCCAAGGCTTTAAAGAAGACACATACTTCTAAGTTTGTGTCTTCCGATGACGATATGACTTCCGAGGATGAAGAACCAAAGAAGCGAAAGAGAAACAAGCAGGAGTCATCGGATGAAGAGCCGTCCGATGATGATGATGAAGAAGATATAATTGCCGTCTCCTTTCCGTTGAGTCCAAAGGTAGTTGACATAACGTCCAAGAAAAATGTACCACTCGCTAATACATGTATATGGACGCGTTATGCAACTAATCCAGCTTTCCTGTATGCAAAAAGCTTTACTGTAAATGGCAAGTACATTATTAGGCTAAAGGAAAAGAATCTCTACATTGCATTGTGTCCACCTAAGCTCATGGGCAAGAATCTCCCTGCGCCAGAAATATCTGAGAAAGAGGCACGCATATTGGCCAAGATGGGTCTTCAAGAGGCAACTTCAGCAGATGTAGAAAAAATAGAAGAGTCTTCTGCTGATGAGAATTCTGACGATGATACAGATGATGGTGATACGTCTGATAATGCTGACTCTGACGATGATTCCTCTAAAGATAAAGACTCTGATGATGGCAAGTCCAATAACAGACCTGATGTAGAATCTGGAGATGATACCTCTAAGGAGGCCTTTCAAGTCCAAATTATCATATGGTGTTTGTTACATCTCTGCAGATCTTGACGATATCCACCGCGTCCATTAGAGGAGAGTGTATGTATGATACCAAGCATATAAGACAACCATTGTAACATTTTTTGTTTAACTATCCTACTAAACACCAACCTATTCTCCAAACAACAAAGTCTTCTTATTTTTCGCACACCACACTCTTGAATATGTCCATCTACTATTAACCTGTAACCCTCACTGCAAGATTCGCCAGAGTAGTTCTTGTATGTGATCATCTAAAGCACTTGTATTCTCAACTGTATCTTTGTCGTGAAATACAGGGGAGAGATTACATTTTAAAAATTCTTGTGCTGTCTATTGCTATTTTATTCTGTGTTCTGTTGCCCACTATGAAGAGATATGCCAGTTATGGAAGTCAACACTCCGTTCCTTGGACTTTGGATATTTTTTATATGCCTTTTTATATCCTCTGCACATGAAGGGGCCGCTAAGGATAACCCTGATGAAAAACTATCTCATAAAAAGCCATCTAAGGATGATGAGAAGAAGACTTCTCGAAAGAAAAGGCATTCAGAGATGCCCAAAAATGCAGAGCCATCTTCTAATGTAGATGTTTCTAAGGATGAAAAAGATGAACACACATTTGCACTGGCCACAACGGTGCGTAACATTAGATCAGAGAAAGACATACCACTTGCAAAGGATGGAGGATGGATGGTTCATCCTAATAACGACATGCTTGAGTATGCAACTAACTTTACGATGAAGGCTAAGTACATTGTCAAGCTATGTGGAAAGAATACATACGTTGGCCTGTTTACGCTTGATCATCTGCGTGGCGGTGGTGATGTTCCAGAGATGGATATCTTGGAACGCTCCATGCTTAGCAAGATGAAACTTCAAGAAATGTCTGATGAAGAGAGAAAGATGCTTTTCAACGAGGAGGTCGAAGTAGAAGAGGAACTACCAGTGGAAGGACCGACAGATATATCCAAGATGAAATGGAAAAGGTTTCACAAGCAGCAATTGGAGTATTCCAAGAATGTACTTGTAAATGGAAAGCACATTCTCAAGATCCGCAAGCAAAACATTGTAGTTGGTTTGGTGACTGATGACCACATTGGTGCAGAGAATGTCGACTATGATAATCTTAACCAAAAGGAAAAAGAAAAGATCTTTGCTATGGGCTTTAAGCCACAATGGTCTAAGGATAGGTCGACAGAGAAAGGTGAACCGGTAGAAAAAATAGATGATGAGGTGCAAGAGTCGAATATTAAGGAAACTTTAGATGAACTTGTAGAAAAAGTAGATGATGAGGTGCAAGAGTCGGATGTTAAGAAAACTCTAGAAGATGGTGGACCTATGGAAAGCGAAAATGTGAATGCCTCAAGTGTTTACACTACAAAAGACCATCATGATTTTCTGAAGGCAATGGGAGAAGTATATAGCAAAATAACAGCTATCGAAGAAGAACTCCGCGAGGAATACGTTTCGGCAGATGGTAATGCAGAAGAAAAAGAACTAATTTTTCACCTAGGTTTGTTGGAGAAAGATTATTCCAACTACGAAACATGGCACATGGATAAGTTTGGTTCCCGCGAACCACATTCCGATATATTATGTAAGTTCGCAAAAGAAGGATCTCACAACAGAAAAACCATAGTGCAAAGTGTATTAGATAGTATTCAAGCCAAAGAGAAAAGTACGATGGAAGAAAAGAAGCCTCTTGAAGTAACATTTGAGACCGCAGAAGAGTAGATCAAGAATTTTAAAAACTGTAGATATACCACTTGCACAAATAAAGCTTTTATATATGGAATACACATGTAATATTATCCTCGTCCCTTCCAATGAGATTCACCAGATATATTACCCATCTTTTTAAAAACTTCCACCATCCTTTGCACAATTTACAATATTTCTTTCTTGATCACAGTGGTGTTTATCCACAATCTACTTATATTTAACATTACGAAAATTACAATAACTATATCTAATATGTTCTACAATGCATGCACTCTTTATGACATTTATTTTTTCACCATTGGCATGTTTACCAACGATCTGTATAGGAGGCCGCATATCAACAAATATTATAACAATCGTAACTTCCTACAAAGTATGTTACATCAAACATTATAAAAACCACGATAACTTCATCTGAGACGTTCCACAATGCATGCACCCTCACCATTATTGCATTACCCATATTTTTTTAAAACATTCACCTAGGAGGCCTTTCAGGTCCAAGTTATCATATGGTGTTTGTTACATCTCTGTAGATCTCGACAATATCCATAGCGACTATGGGATGAGAATGTATATATGATACCAAGCATATAAGACAACCATTGTAACATTTTTTGTTCAACTATCCTACTAAACACCAACCTATTCTCCAAACAACAAAGTCTTCTTATTTTTCGCACACCACACTCTTGAATATGTCCATCTACTATTAACCTGTAACCCTCACTGCAAGATTCGCCAGAGTAGTTCTTGTATGTCATCATCTAAAGCACTTGTACTCTCAACTGTATCTTTGGGGCGAAATACAGGGGAGAGATTACATTTTAAAAAAACATGTGCTGTCTATTGCTATTTTATTCTGTGTTCTGTTGCCCACTATGAAGAGATATGTCAGTTATGGAAGTAAACGCTCCGTTCCTTGGGCTTTGGATATTTTTTATATGCCTTTTTATATCCTCTGCACATGAAGGGGCCGCATGCTCCTCGCATGTCGAGCTTGGTGAAATACTTGGCTTTGCCTAGTCGGTCGAAAGTTTCGGAGATCAGTGGCAGAGGGCATCGATTGGGGACAGTCACCTTGTTGAGGCCTCGATAGTCGACACAGAGGCGGAGAGAACCGTCTTTCTTTTTAACAAAAAGGACGGGGGCGCCAGCTGGAGACTCGGATCGACGGATGAACCCTTTTGCAAGGTTTTCTTGAATATATTCGCGTAGAACTTGCAGTTCCGTTTGTGATAGGTTGTACACTGGTCCAAATGGCACGGTGGCTCCTTCGACCACAGCGATATTGTGATCATAGGGTCGATGTGGCGGTAGCTTGTCGGCTTGCATCTTGGAGAATACCTGAGCATATTCGGCATATTTCTCGGGCAGTTGGACTGTGGGTTTTGATTCAGGGATAGAGTTGTCGTTGGTGGTTGCGCTGGCGAGTTCTTCGATTCGGGAGACGTCGAGCATGTATCCGACTCCTTGATTGGTCTTGAGGATCTGACGGAGTTGTGTATTGCTAATAATGGAGATGTTGGTTGCTGATCGGTTCTTGGCGGATTTGGATAGTTGGTTGGATCCTGAGGTGTACTTGGTGGGAACCAAAGTGGATTTGGGTTTGGAAGGTGGCAGAAGGATTCGGTCTTGTTCCTGGAAGGAAGGGATGGATCGAGGCATTGTTGATTGTGCAAGGGGGGAAAGCTTGTCGAGTGTGTGCTGATGGAGGCATGGCATAGTAATGGTTCGTTTCTCCCAGTCGATATATGGGTTGTGTGAGCGGAGCCAGTCCATGCCAAGAATAATGGCATAATTGCCAAGTGCAATGAGTTGAAAAGTGTGTGTGGAAAAGTGTTGTGAGTGGGATTGCATAACCAATGTGGTGGCGTGATGAGAGGTATGTGTTGAACCATTGGCAAGAGAGATTTGTAATAAGTGTTGTGCTAGTGGAAGATTATGCTGTTGTGCTAGATTTTGATGAATGAATGAGATGGTTGCTCCTGAGTCGATCATTGCATGGACTGGTAGTGAGGAGTTTTGGAAGTGAAGAGTAATTGGAATAGTAATAGGGGATAGCAGAGGATCATTTGGAGATTTGTTATACAGCTCGCCCAGACACACTCCAACTTTACTGTCTAGGCTGAATCTTTTTCCAATTGGAAAGAGATTGCATCGGGCTGGTCGCTAGTCTGTGTAGGCTGAAGGGCCGAGATCGAGGCTGTTGCCTTTGGGGCGTTCTTGAACGAGGGCTTTGCAGGTTTCTTGGGGCAGTCGTCAAGCCAATGATCTGCTGAACCACAGTAGGTGCACAGTCCTTCCTTTTGACGACGAAGACGCTCAGACGGTGGCAAAGGACCATGGCGAGCATGCGAGAGATCCATGTCCATCGAAGTGGTCGCGGGAGCTGAGGTAGCAGGGGTGGACGCGGTAGTTGGGGTGGATGAGGCTTGAGTGGTAGTAGAAGTGTGGGCAGTGGTGGAACGGGACGGAGTGCTGGAAGATTTGTTGCCGGAACGGGTCACTGCATAGCCGTACTGTCGGTTGTCGATGTCGATAGCCAATTGTGAAAACTCGGCAAAGGTAGGTGGCTCGGGGTAGTTTGCCATGGCTTCTTGAACAGACTCCTTCAGGCCGAGGCGGAACTGTGAAATCATTGCGCTATCATTCCATGCTGTATCCGCTGCAAGGTTGACGAAACGGTTTGTATAGTCGATGGCAGAACCGCGCTGTCTAAGTTGACGGAGTTGGGTTTCTGCTAGGACGTGAGCATTGGAGACTCCAAAGTTCTTACTCATAAGAGCAAAGAACTGATCCAGGTTAGAAATACATGCGGGTCTCTCCTCGACAGGCAACTTGAAGGACGGAACGTATCTCTGCATGTACTTGAACGCTGCAGTATCACCGAGGCGCGAGATAGCCAGCACAATGCGGTCGTGGTCGTTCGGATAGGAGGCCTTTCAAGTCCAAATTATCATATGGTGTTTGTTACATCTCTGCAGATCTTGACGATATCCACCGCGTCCATTAGAGGAGAATGTATATATGATACCAAGCATATAAGACAACCATTGTAACATTTTTTGTTTAACTATCCTACTAAACACCAACCTATTCTCCAAACAACAAAGTCTTCTTATTTTTCGCACACCAAACTCTTGAATATGTCCATCTACTATTAACCTGTAACCCTCACTGCAAGATTCGACAGAGTAGTTCTTGTATGTGATCATCTAAAGCACTTGTATTCTCAACTGTATCTTTGTCGTGAAATACAGGGGAGAGATTACATTTTAAAAATTCTTGTGCTGTCTATTGCTATTTTATTCTGTGTTCTGTTGCCCACTATGAAGAGATATGCCAGTTATGGAAGTCAACACTCCGTTCCTTGGACTTTGGATATTTTTTATATGCCTTTTTATATCCTCTGCACATGAAGGGGCCGCTACCGAATAAAATATAAAAATATATTTGTATTCTCAACTATGTGCTTGCTGTATGATAGATACCATCCTACATGCTGTTGTGTATACAGTTAAGTATAAGCCTTTTTAAAAAATTGTTATTGTTGGTTAACGTCATGACAATCCAATACATAAATATTATTATGGATCTAACAAAACACTTCCAACAACTGCTTGATGACCATTGGACTTTCCTCAACGCTGGATGGCCAACAATTACACCACGTAATAATCATCGTACTGTAAGCAAGGAAATTGGGTATATGCCAGAAATAAAAGAAACCCTAAATCGACGCCTTGGTCCTATTCCAGTGTACTTCTTTCTTGTTGACATCTGGCCAAAGGTTAAGTATCCTGGTCCATACAAAGAAGTGGAGAAAGGTCTTTTAATGCTCTATCATCTTGTCAAAGGACTGTCTATGGAAGCATTGGAACCACACATGCCAAAAAGTAGTTTTCATGCAATGCACTCTGTGTTTTATAAGAAAGAATATACTTTGCACAACAAGTACATCACCAACTGTATTGCAACAATGTTCTCCACAATTAAAATACGCCTTTTGTCTGCAAAGGAAAAGAATCCTCCATTATTTAAGCATGTTACATTGCATCTTGATGGTCATGATACAAGAGCAACATACAAAGGTGAGAGTAGTGCTGATATGTACTCTTACAAGCTGAAAAAGTCAGGATTACGCACACAGGTAGCAATGGATTGTAATGGCATGGCTTTATTTGTCTCCAAATCTGCATCTTGCAAGAACAATGCTGATGGAACAATGCTGCTAACGATGAAGTTGGACAAGAGAGTGCATGAGATGGATTGCATTGCTCTCGATGGAGGGTATCCACAGTTCTTAAGGAGGCTTATAGATGAGTCTGATACTCTTAAACTCCAAAATTTCGCTCATCCATACCGTAAACAGAAGAACAAGGAACTTACACAGGAAGAAGCGTTATACAATACCACCTTTGGTAGTTTCCGCTCGCAGATGGAATCTCTGTTTGCAGACCTTGGTTCCACATTTGAGAAACACAACAACCGTACTCCTGTGTTGGTGGATAAGAAACAAACATATAATTTGCAGTTGAAGTTATCTTTGTTACTCTTAAACATGAAAAAGATGGTTGCTTTGTTGAAGATTTCTGCAGAACCAATTCATACAGCTTGGCTTCGCGAAGGATTCGAGTATCCGACAACAGAGAACGACGTTGAGCAACCAATGGGATATGTTGATGTTGGTGCGCTAGTGGAGGATGGAAATACAATGGCACAACTCCAGAACAAATTTCTTGGTATTAATCTTCATGGTGATGTTGATGTTAATGTTGATGAGGACACACCAATGGATCAAGCAGTAATAATGCAACCCGGTCTTTCCATTGCGCTTTGAGGTACGTAGTACGAAGCGACAAATGGATGTTAATGGTAATTTGTAGACTTATTGCAGGTTTTTAAAAGAATAGACATACATAGCCTATTTAGTCAGCGTTGAGATACGGTATTAACTGCCTAGACGCTAATATGCACCGGTATCTATTATTAAAAGTCATGGTATTATTGTAGTAGATCGGATGCTATTCTATGCTATTCTACAACATTCCTTTTTATTTAACAAAGAGGATAAACACATGTACAAACCTACGTCATAAAAGAATACATAAACACATGTACAAACCTACGTCATAAAAGAATACTACATTCTTAACCATTTTTAAACCCCGTCTTTAACGCCAAGCAGTCTTAATAAGCAAGATCTACGTCATACGAGGAACACTACGTTATTAACCACTTAGATGCCTTTTTAAAACTCTTTTGTTACTAAGCGCCAAGCAGTGTTAATAAGCAAGCGCTATTAATATCCAGTGTGGCAGTGTCCCATGAATTAGTATAAATAAAGGACTCCACTTCCCTCTTGCTTAATCTTTATCTTATCTAGTAACCAACCAACCATTATCCATATCTATACAACCATCCATACCTATACAACCATCTTTTATTGCAATTCTTTATATCAGTGTACTAAGCAGCTGCAATCTACCACACATAAACTGAAAGCTCATTCACACCCACCATACCACAAGTACAATCTATATCGTTCATATCCAAAAACATGCAGTACGTTCAGCTTACAATCGAGCTCATCACCAAGGCCTTCGAGACATTTTCTTCTAAGAAGGGAGTGGAGTTTACCAAGAAAGATGCAAATAAGATCTTTAAGGCGCTTGATGAGGATGAGGGAGTAGAGAGATACTACTTTTGTGGTGCAAAGTGCACCAAGTCCAAGCGCAAATGCATGAAGGAAGTTGATGATGAAGGCATGCATTGTTATGTCCACGATCCTGCGCGCAAGTGTCAAGGCACAACCATTAAGGGCGCTAATTGTGGTAGTGTAGCCAAACTTGGTGAAACATACTGTGGACGTCATCGAGAGCAGCATAAAGGTCATATGAAAAGCAGTAACAATAAGGCACCTGCCAACAAGCGTACCAAGTCTTCCAAGATAACCAAGAAGACACATACTCCTGAGTTTGTCCCTTCAGATGATGATATGACTTCCGAGGATGAAGAACCAAAGAAGCGAAAGAGAAACAAGCAGGAGTCATCGGATGAGGAGCCGTCCGATGATGATGAAGAAGATATAATTGCCGTCTCCTTTCCGTTGAGTCCAAAGGTAGTTGACATAACGTCCAAGAAAAATGTACCACTCGCTAATACAGGCATATGGATGCGTTATGCAACTAATCCAGCTTTCCTGTATGCAAAAAACTATACTGTAAATGGCAAGTACATTATTAAGCTGAAGGAAAAGGACCTCTACATTGTATTGTGTCCACCTGAGCTCATGGGGAAAAATCTTCCTGTACCGAAATTATCTGACAAAGAGGTACGTATATTACAAAAGATGGGACTCCAAGAGGCAACTCCTGCTGATGTAGAAAAAATAGAAGAGTCTTCTGCTGATGAGAATTCTGACGATGATACAGATGATGGTGATACGTCTGATGATGCTGGCTCTGACGATGATTCCCCTGATGATAAAGACTCTGATGATGGCAAGTCCAATAACAGACCTGATGTAGAATCTGGAGATGATACCTCTAAGGATAACCCTGATGAAAAACTATCTCATAAAAAGTCATCTAAGGATGATGAGAAGAAGACTTCTCGAAAGAAAAGGCATTCAGAGATGCCCAAAAATGCAGAGCCATCTTCTAATGTAGACGTTTCTAAGGATGGAAAAGATGAACATACATTTGCACTGGCCACAACGGTGCATAACATTAGATCAGAGAAAGACATAGCACGTGCGAAGGACAGAGGATGGATGATTCATCCTAATAACGACATGCTTGAGTATGCAACTAAGTTTACGATGAATGGCAAGTACATTGTCAGGCTATCTGGAAAGAATACATACGTTGGCCTGTTTACGCTTGATGCTCTGCGCGGTGTCGGTGATGTTCCAGAGTTGGATATCTTGGAACGCTCCATGCTTAGCAAGATGAAACTTCAACCATTGTCTGATGAAGAGAGAAAGACGCTTTTCAACGAGGAGATCGAAGTAGAAGAAGAAGTACCAGTAGAAGGACCAACAGATAAATCCAAGGTGATATGGAAAAAACTTAACAAGTACTTGGAATATTCCGAGAATGTACTTGTAAATGGAATGCACATTCTCAAGATGCGCAAAAAAGACACTGTAATCGGCTTGATGACTGATGACCATATTGCTGCAGAGAATGTAGAGTGTCATTCTCTTAGCCAGAAGGAAAAAGAGAAGTTGTTTGCTATGGGATTTAAACCGCATGAGCATAAGCAAAGCTTGCCACAGAAAGATGAGAGCACATGTGAGGATGATAAAGATGCTGAGGGCGATAAAGATGCTGAGGATGACAAAGATGCGGTGGGTGATAAAGATGCTGAAGATGACAAAGATGTTGAGGGTGATAACGATGCTGAGGATGACAAAGATGCTGAGGGTGATAACGATGCTGAAGATGATAAAGATGCTGAGGATGATAAAGATGCTGAGGATGTTATGTGGAAAAGGTACCCTAAAGATAAAAGCTCTTCGGGTATAATCGTCATAGATAAAGACGAAATTAAATGGACAACATGTTCGTTTGACAAGAAGCATGAATATGCAACCAACTACCTTTTCGACGGATGTCATCTGCTCAAGAGGTACGAAGAGGACATTATTGTTGGACTGCTGTATAAGATACCTGCAAACGGTGACAGTAACTATAGTCGAGACAAATTTACCAACAACAAACAAAAGCAGAAGTTAATTGCCATGGGGTTCACGATCGAGGAATTGCCTAAATTGTACTCTCCAGATGTAAAGTTTTGGTAGTTGTTGAGACAGATGAAGAGTAGATATTTTAAAAACTATCCAATTGTCAACAGTTGGCATTTGTGGTTGTATATATAGCATGAACTTTTTAAAAATGTAACATGTCTTCGACACTTCCACCTAGGAGGCCTTTCAAGTCCAAATTATCATATGGTGTTTGTTACATCTCTGCAGATCTTGACGATATCCACCGCGTCCATTAGAGGAGAATGTATATATGATACCAAGCATATAAGACAACCATTGTAACATTTTTTGTTTAACTATCCTACTAAACACCAACCTATTCTCCAAACAACAAAGTCTTCTTATTTTTCGCACACCAAACTCTTGAATATGTCCATCTACTATTAACCTGTAACCCTCACTGCAAGATTCGACAGAGTAGTTCTTGTATGTGATCATCTAAAGCACTTGTATTCTCAACTGTATCTTTGTCGTGAAATACAGGGGAGAGATTACATTTTAAAAATTCTTGTGCTGTCTATTGCTATTTTATTCTGTGTTCTGTTGCCCACTATGAAGAGATATGCCAGTTATGGAAGTCAACACTCCGTTCCTTGGACTTTGGATATTTTTTATATGCCTTTTTATATCCTCTGCACATGAAGGGGCCGCATAGAGGGTCTCGTTTGCAACGAAGAAGAGTTCCAGCTGAGCCTGAAACCCTTTCCAATCTTCACGCTTGCCGGAGAAGACTGCGGGGGGTGCTACTTTTGGCCTCGAAGGGGAGCTATTGCTGGAGTGAGGTGTAGTTGATTGGAAGATGGCACTCACTGTGTTGGTGACATCGGTCTTGTGATCATAAAATAGTTTGCCTAGTTCTGCGCGAGTGATGGGTGGTAATTGTGACGTCATCTTCTGGACGTTGGATTCGAGGCTGAGTAATCGAGGGTTGAGGTTGACGGTCAGGCTTGTGAAGAAATCTTCGTTCGAAAGAATGAAGTCCAGCATATCACGGTACTTCTGAACAGTCTCCTCGAGTTCGGTGACTTTGGCTTGCAAGGGAGTGACCGTCTGAACTATTTGTTCAAGTGTGGCTACTCGGTCCATCAGTGCTTGGAAGCGCGCGTTGGCTGTAAGGATCTCACTATCGGGTAGCATTGTAGTTGATACGGAAAGTGAAGAGTTGTTGTAGTTTCTGAGGGTTGTGGGTTGTGTACGGAAGATGGTAGTAAAAGAGGAAAGAACTTGAAGAAGATAGGGTTTGGTTTTGTTGTGGAAAAGGCTTTTTTTTTTTTTTTTTTTTTTTTTTGAGCGCTGAAGTATATCAATAGAAAACAGACAAAGTTTGATCCAAGGTTCTTTAGGTGTATGACTTGGTATTGTCAAGAAAGCAGACCAAGCAATAGAATGAAGTAGATAAAGAGAACCTTGATCAAGGACTAAGAAATGAGTATAAGGAATAGGTTAAAGAGTATGTTGTATTGGCGATACCAAGTAAAGAGCTATAGATTTGCTATCTAAGGCCCTTTTATACTCGTTAGGGCGAAGTCACAAGAGCAAGCTCTTGTCTCGTGACAGCACCGCCCAGATACCCGCATATGTACTCCAGAATCGCTTCCTCGGTAAGGTGTCCCGACGATTCTTCACCAGGCGACTATACTGTTCCACCACTGACTGATTGTCCAGCTTGACCACAATGTCCTGTTCCGGTGGTGCTAACAAGACTGCGGCTAATAAGCCCATGAGCTCGGCCTTAGCCGAGGATGCGTGACCGTCCGTTCGTCCTTGTACTGTCAAAGGGTTGTCCTGAGTGAGATCCACCACTCCAAAGGCCTGGGATACTTCTAGCGTGTGTGTACTTGGGTTTTTTTTTTTTTTTTTTTGTCCACGATTTTATTTCTCTAAAGAACAATTCATGTAGGTAATCCAAAAATAAAAGGGCTATTTGTGAGGACCCCTTCCCAGTACACCATCCCCTAGTCACAGTCCGGTTCTAATAACGCTGGCTCTGCGCAACAATCGTTGTCGCTCTTCACGACAAAAACGGAAGAAAATACAAAAGCGATCTATCCAGTTATTACTCTCAACTAAAACACCTTCATCTGAACAACCAGGAGATAGCAAAAGTACTTTCTTCCCAGTGCCGTTTTTCAAGTGTTCGACGTCACCTCCATCCATGCACATGCGTGCAACGCAACAACCCAAAAAAATAAAAATGGTTGTCACGCGCCTCCTGGACAGGGGAGACTAGCGCGAAAAGAGGGGGGGTTGCCATTGTGCTTGCGCACTTGTGTGGGAAAAAAACAAAAGTTTCGCTCCTCGTTTCCCACACACCTTCAAGGCAGAAAGGTTGGAACGTTAGCCATCCAGGCCTGGGGTTCTTTTTATACTGTGAGGGACTGACAGCGGTGCTCTAAGACGCTTAAGGCAGAACTCATAGAGACTGCGCGAATACTCATATCACCAAGTAGTTCCAACATGGCACCTCATGAGCAAAGATCCATCCATGCACTTCCGTGCTTCGCAAGGGAAGTCAACCCTCGCACCGACCTGGACAGGGGGGCCGGGTCTTGAATCCGTCAAATCCGTAGCGTATCTCCTTGTGGGTGGGACCAAGGACCTCTCGCAAAGAGGATGGAAAGGCAGACGACCAACTCCATTCGACTGACATTCCGTGCGGCGATGGGGGACCATCTCTCTCTCATCTCGCTCCAGGGACCGACCTGCCGACCTCATAACACCCGCCTTGAAACTTCCAAGCTCTCCTTGCATGTCGCTGACCCGGGGTGGTAGGCGCCTTGGCAACACTGACGCCAACGGTGGTCCTGCTCAAGGGCCTTGTCGGTTTAATGGTTGGATGGATGGATAGCCCCGACGTGTGGATGGAGGAAGGCGTGACTGTTCTTGGAGACGAAAAATGGGAATTGGGAAAGAAAGATGTGTGTGTACTTGGGTGTCTTGTTCTTGGCAGAGATACCTTTCACCAAACCGCTTAAATCTCTAAGTGCACATTTCACGTGACACAAGAACTCCGCCTTGAGTTCAAATGGTGCTGAGAAATCTGGGTTCCCAAGCAATTCGATCGGCGCCAGAAGGCGCCAGATGGCCCGGCTAGCTCAATCGGTAGAGCGTCAGACTCTTAATCTGAAGGCTGTGGGTTCGACCCCCACGTTGGGCGTAAGATCATGGGCTCATTGGTACAACCAACCTGGTAACTTGTCTCCTTGTTCTCCAGGATTCATCCTATCAGCTTTCCATTGAGTCTCAATACTTGCCTCTCTCTCTTTTTTGCTTTTTTTTTGCTTTGCTAGTCATGGCAATAGAGACGGGTTAATCTGCTTGATAACCCGTCAGCTTGCAAATTATCCGAGGATCCTGGCCAGTTCAGCTTGTTGAATATTGCTGGAGAGCTGATAGCCATCTAAATCAAGAGGTGGTGTCTGACAATCGGGGAAACCTGTCCCAAGAACACAGTATCGTAGCAAGTGTGCGAGGCACTTAGCAAAAATTGTTTTTTTCCTTTTTTTCCTTTTTTCCTTTTTTCCTTTTTTCCTTGCAGAGGATTGCCGCATCAATACCCGACATCCATAAAGGTATCGTAGCAAGCATGCGAGGTGCATCCCTTCCTCGTTTCTCCTTAACAGAGGACCGGCGCATCAATACACAACATTCATGCACACACATCCATAGAGGTATTGCATCAACCGTGCTAGGCACCTACCTTCCTAGCAATTGATTCCATCTCTCCACAACAAAAACACATTCATCCGCGACATATTACATATACCATTTAGTCTCCTGGTATATATGGCAACCCGGCTTGAAAGATGAGAATGTACGGGGAGGTTGTCAAAGTAGCCGTGAAACTTGTCTAACAACAAAAGGGCTGGTCAAATATATTACCCCTATAAAGAGAGACAAAGAGTGCAATTAAGGCGAAGGCGCCGTCTGCTTGTTCACTTGTCTGAGTGAGCGTTGAGCGTTGAGCTGTAGGGCTTTTCTCGGTTCTGACTCTGCTTGAAGAGGCATCCAAGAGTAACTCTCGAAACAAACAAACTACCTGTTCTTTTGCTTCGTTTCCTTGTATTCCTCGCTACAAGAAGTCCCCCCTACACCACGAGGAAGGGAGTCCACAGTTTTCCGCTGTGTCTTCATACTTAACCCGCAAAAGCACTGTTTTGCGCGTTTGTGTGCAAAGATGATATGAAAAAGGACAATTTTTTACTTTTTGCAACAGTTGCACTTTTGGCGCCTGAATTTCAGCCATGAATAAAAAACAAAAACGAAACGGCTGCAGGCGCTACGTCGTTACGCTCATAAAGTTATGTTACTCAAAAACACTGGAACCTTGCTCGTAGTGACAATCCGCACTGAGTAAAAAGGAGCTTTTACACAGAAGGAGAAGCCATAAAGAAAACACTTCGTACGAACGATATACCCTTGAGCAGCCTTGGTTGAAGGTGTTGTTTGATCTATACTGTACACATGTCTTCATTTTCATTTTTTTTTCGCTCTCGCAATGACAATTGCATCGAGTAAAGACAACGGGAGACACAGCCAAGTTGATCTGGCCAGAACTGACATTCACTTTCACTTTTCAGGATGAAGAAAGTCTGGCTCTACCATTGCTGCGCTTTGCGGTACTGATAATATCTCTGGCGCTAGCAAATAGTAGTATTGTTTCTGCTTGCAAATGTTTTTTGTTCGCCATTATATTTCTATGGTAATCAACATAAGTGGCATTTAAAAGTAAAGGGGAGTACAGACCAAACTCTTGGGTGCACCATCCACCAGTTACAGTTCGGTCCTGAACCTGGCTCTGCAGAATAGTTGTCGCTGCAAAATTGGACGCCAATAAAGGGGATTCTTCTTATCCTCCCCTTCATTGATAACCTCTTGTGTGAACAACAAAATAACATATTTTTTTTTTCGTACATTTTATTTCTCTGGCCACAATCATGTCAGACCGCGTGCAACAAGTTTTTTTTTTTTGTACACAATTTTTTTTCTCCAACAAACAGCATAGAAAAGTCATTTGGAAGCAAAAGGGGACTACAGACTAAACTCTTCAGTGCACCATCCACCAGTCGCAGTCCGGTCCAGAACCTGGCTCTGCGCAACAATTGTCGCTGCTCTTCACAGCTTAAACGGAAGAAAATAAAACTAGATACGAATGAAGGGGATTCTTCCCATCCACTCCATCATTGACGACCTCCTCCTTCCTAACAAACTCTTCAACAACCGCTCGTCACCAGCGCGTGGGTCCTTGGTCGCTCCAGGGCGCCTGACGACCCCTGTCCACCGCGCGTTTGTGTTCCCGCTTCCTGACTGCGTTGTAGCTGTTTGTCGCTTGCACACCCCACTCATTAGTCTTGCCCATGGCCTCTTTCCAGATCTCAGTGGTGGTCTCGGCTGCCAAGGGGCATTTCCAGACATGATCGTTATCCTCCTTCTCGAGCTCGCATCGTCGGCGCAAACAGGTCATCGCGTGCAACAAGGGAATTTTTGACTTAAAGACTGCATTCATGCATTTAGAGGAAGAATTAGTAAGCGTTGGAACTGGACTGTCTAGAAACCAAGCCTTCCAAACAAGCCCGGCTAGCTCAATCGGTAGAGCGTCAGACTCTTAATCTGAAGGCTGTGGGTTCGACCCCCACGTTGGGCGCTTTCTTTTTGCCTCCCTCCAGAAGGCGTCTTCTTTTGCCAGCCGCGTCTTGGGGCTCAATGTCAATGCCCATCTCTTCCCTTTCTGTTTATGCTATTGTTGCGAAATTTTGATAAATGGCCCTGCGACGTTGGATGACTGAACAGTAAGGGGTGGTTGATTATTTTTGTTTATGGCGAGGATATCAAGGCATATCTTTTTTTCCACGCGGCGGGTTGAGAGTCTCGAGGCGCAGCGGAATGGAGGTTAAAGCGACAGCTATCGAAGGCGGACACGGAAGTATTTGGCTCGTTCACATGAACGGAACAAATAGATCCCATCCCGCGATATCGTTGAAGACGGCAATGGGGTGTGTTCAACCGTGTACCTGAACGCAGGGTTTTTAACCAATTTTTTTTTGGTCAAAAAAAATTTGACTGGTCAATCGCGTCGGTTAATCCGTCAAAAGGTCAAGTGAATCTTTTGCTCAAACATCGGCTAATCTGGTCGGTCA